CCTTTCTGCCAAGGGGGGGGGGGCAAATTTCCAAGCAAACCAGCCCTCCCTCATCAGGGCATCTCCTCTCCCCTCTGCGTGTCCAGCAAGTGGAAGCCAATACAGCACCTGGACCCCTGGACAGGGGAGAACTCCAGAGTGTGGAGAAAGGCCAGGGGAGGATTGATAAACTAAGCTCTGACAAAATAAGTTCAGGAGACCAAAGCCATTTAACATATATTTATTGAAATCTACTTGATGCAAGGCACTGTGCTAGGTCTGGTAGGGGAATAAGACATGAAAGACCACCCTTGTCTTCTAAGAGCGCACAATCTAACGGGTGGGGGAGGGCAGGGACCGCGAAGCTCTAGTGCAAGGCTGGTTATAGTCAAGTGTTTTAAAACAGACAAGTTATGGAGATTGGGAGGAAGGGGAAAAAAGTGCCAACAACCAAAATATGAACTGGGGTGGGAGATAGCTACTGTTCTTAGATATGCAAATACTGCTGAAGGCCAAGTTTAAAGACATCATTTCTACTTTTGAAAGTAAATACCCAAACCGATGCAACAACAGTTACAGAATTGTTAAGTATACATAGTCATAGAGAAGTTATCGATTCATTGTCTGATGGATTTGCTGGAAGTAGGGAGACACTTCCAAAATCAGGAACACGGTGGGTGGGGCAAATTTGGGGTCAGTACAGGAATGATAACCAAACAGAAAAGCATTAGTCAAATTTACTGATACTAGAAGGTATAGATTTTTAACCCATCTCAGCAAACAGAAAACAGTGCCACAAATTTAAAGGGGTGTTTACTATAGTCAGGGGGGACTTGGGCCAGGAACTCGGGCCAGGGGAACACAAGGAAAGCCAGCCACCTGATGCTTCTCAAGAAACAGCCAAATGATACATTGGCTCTTAACAGATTGCAAAAAGCAGAGACCCATTCAGGCTGGCTCGGCTAAGGAAGTCTATCGCAGAGGGCAGTCCTCAGAAATCCAAGAACATGAGACCAGGCTTTCCCTGGGGTGCTGGGATTGAAACATCTCTGGGGCACCTAACAGGAACCCATAGATCTTCAAGCCAGTGCTGCCCAACTCCTCTAAATGTGGAGTGCTCCCTCTTTCTTCCAATACCAACTAAAAACTTCTTAGTTTCCTTGTTTGCAAAACCTGAAAGGCCTGGCCCATCATTCCCAGCCAGCTCTGATGACCAGCTGCTGTCCATGGGTCACGTGATTCGTTGTGGTTGAAGGAATGTGGCCTACAAGGGGGGTGGGAGTCACGTGGCACACAACAGGGCCCAAGTCAGGGGCACTGGGAATGCAACACCACATGAGAAGGATGCCCACTGCGATCAGGTGGGGCTCACTGTGGAAATCTGAGAGTGGGTCTGACACAACTAATCAACAGTTAATCTCAAGCAGCAAAAATGGTAAGCAATCGCTTTTTTTGGAAAGTTTCAGCAAGTATTCAAAAGTTGAATAAAAGCAATGGAGGCTTTCTTTCAGACTATAACAAAAGGGTAGATTTCTAATGAGAGCTAGCGTTCTAGGTAACCCAACTGCTCTTCGTTTACCTTGCAAAAGGTCTGTGTGATTAGAAAGAAAAGTGAAATGAGGTAGATACCCAAATGCAGAGATAAGCACACACGACAGAAAGCTCGATCACATTTTGCATCTGACGTAGCAGTATGCCTAGAGAATCCCAGGAAATCCGCCCCCTAGTTGCCAGAGGCAAAAACGGAAGGCGCAACTACAGGACATACATGAAAGCCACAAATTGATTGTTTTGAGCCAACGCAGCGATGGAGAAGAAGCGGTCTTTAGTGTTAACTCTGGGAAAGGGTTTCTTTGAGAAGAAATTATAGAACCAGGAATGGAAAAAAGTAAAGGAGGGCATGACGGGATGGCAGGACTCCATGTCCCGGCTGGGGGAAACGAGGCAGTGTGGATGATGCTAAGTTCCGAGTGAATACTGCATCAGGATCCTTCAGGAAACCCGACAAATGCCTAGTGAATGGGTAAGAAACGGCAGAGTCCTTGCAGGTACAGGTGCCAGATTGTCCCCCCTGCCCATGACGTCACCATTCCTTACCAAAGGACACTTGTATCAAACATGTCAGAACAGCTGGAAAAGAGACAAACTGCTGAGAGAAAGAAGTAGCGATCTCAGACACAGATTCACGACTATTGCGAGAACTGAAGCCCACAGAGCAAAAGGAATCGCTATGTAACAAGTGCTGTCGGCGGCTCTCCAGCCTGGGGCTCAGGATGGAGCTGTTGCAGATAGCCACTGGGGTGGCCTGGCGGCCATTCCAGAGTACTTTGTAGCTAAGGTCACAGGGGTCACTGTGGGATCCCGCTTCCCAGGATGGGAGCTTTTGGGAAGTTCCACCTGAGCCTCAGTGGGCCCATCAGAAGGGCACACTTCCTCTCCGGGCCTTCTAGTGCCCCTCCTGCTGCCTGTGACCCCAGGCACAGCTGCTGGGAAGCCACAGCCTGTGTGGCTGGCTTCTCCCTGTGGGCTCTGCAGGAGGAGCCAGGCTGCTGGCCAGCCCTTGCTGCTCTTCCTCCTGGGGAGGCTGCTGGAAGTAACAGCCCAGCCCCAGAAGGACCAGCTTTTATTTCTAGGCCACATGGGCCATCAGAAGGGCATCATTGCCCTCCAAACCCTTGTTTTATTGCCCCTTCTGGGCGCACCTGCTGTAAGTCACAGCCCAGGCCTGTGTGGCCAACTTCAATCACGATGACATGCAGGCCACCAGAGGGGCCTGGTTTCTCACTGAGACTTTGCTCCGTTGCTCCTCTTAGGTGTGGCTGCAGGTGACATGAGAACACGTGGGTGAATATCCCCCCGGTTGCTCAAAGTGGGAGCCACCAAACTGACTTCTTTCTTGTCCCAGAGTCACTTCCTAAGAGGAGGATGCGATTCACGTGACATCGTCAGGTAAGTCTTCTTGTGTTGGAGGAGATGTCTCTTGGGTGGATCTGCTGCTCAGGCATTGAATCCACATCGGAAATGGCTAAGGCTCCCAGGAGCCCAAAGGATGGCCAGCTGTGGCCAAGGCCAAGTTGGGACCCCCCCATCGGTCAGGTGAGGCCCAGCCCTGCTGCTGATGGCTAGGGCTATACTGAGGAACAGTCAGTGTTCTGGCCAAGCTGTGATGGAAGTTTCTCTCCCATGCCTGAGTGGCCAGGTTGGATAGTCAAGTACTGCCTGCAGACATGCAGAGTCTGCGTCTTAGATGAGGAGCGAGCCTGCTTCTCCGGCCCATTCCCATCCAGCCTGCCCGCTTGGCACATTCGCCTTCTGGTGGGGCAGGGCTTTCAACTTTTCAATTGTAGTTAAAATTCGAGAACGAAATGTCCTATCTAACTACTCAACCAATGAAAATTATGACTTAACGGACAATGAGTGCTTGGATATGTAAAAATTAAAAGCTTACATAACAAAAAGTATAATAAAATTGCTACAAGAACAAAGCAATAAAATCGAAAGAGAGATCCTCACAATAGATGTAGAAAGAACTTCTATATATAGTCAATATATCCAAAGGTAACTTGATAACTGGTCAAAGGAGATGAACGTACAGTTTGCGTGCAAGAAAACGCAAACAGCATTGAAGTCACTGCGTGACAAAGATGAGACTAGGAGTCAGAAGGCCTGGGTCCATCCCCAGTTCTGGTATTAATGAGCCAAGGAATGACAGCAATAACTATGACGATGACAGAAGATGCTCTTCACTGAGTGTCCCTCCATGCAGGGCGTAGTGTCACATGTCACGGTCCTCACCATAACCCCAGGAGGTAGTCCTGTGATCACCCCTGTTTTAGAGCCAGAACTGAGGGTTGAGAAGTAACATCTAGGTCCCATTCGATGAGAGGCAATGGTTCTTTGAGAGGAAATTATTCTTGAAAAGAAGGTGTCACACTTGTGTCCATGATGTCCCTGTTACTATGGAGATGCTCTCTCAACTACTTAATTTTGAACAAGATAGTACCACTAAGGACGACTTATTAGCCTGAAGCAAAGTCCAACAGATGCTAGTTTTGTGCTTCGGCAGACAGAATTGGTTTCAGAAAAGCCTTTTTTTCTGAAAAAGAAACTGAACCTAGGAGGTATGACCTCACAATGACAAGTTGTAGATACTTAAAAGGCTTTGAAAGGTCATTTAAAAAGCAACACCTTGAGTGGCTATATTGTAAAGCTATGGGACTATTTTTAAAAGCAACTGTCCTAATCTTACATGGACACGTACTTATGGCTTGGGAGGAAATTCACGATGCTACATGGCACGCGGCTTGAATGGATGGAAAACCATTCGATGTGCTTTGAAACCGACGATTCAAAAATGGCTCCTAGGCTGGTGAAGATGCTGAGGTCACAAATGCACGTGAGGAGTTAGAACGAAATGATAGGGAGTAAAGTGGGGGGGGGGGAATATTTTCTAAATTAATATATTATTCTATATAATGTTATTTATAATATGTACGTACAACTAAATAAGTTAAACATTCTAACACATTTGAATATTCTATTTCTATCCCTAAAAATTTATAGATTCAAGTAGGCCAAAAGACTGTGGGGCTCTTTACTTCGGGAAAGTAGGGCTCACTTTTCCTGGACACCTCGCTGAATAGCTGTGTCCGTTTCCCTGAGGTGGGAGCTCAGAGGGGAGGACCAACAAGTCGCCCTCGAGCCCCACATCCAGGTTTCTCTTCTCTCATTCTCAGATTCAAGGCCTGCAGATATAAATACCTTGAAGATATTGGATGCGAGGTAAACTCGCTGAAATAAGTTAAAATGGACAAAGCTACTCTCGAGAGGCAAAATGGGAAATGTACACTTATAAATTGCTGGTGGCAGTATAAATTGCTTTCAACTTTTCTGACAAGAAAATATATAAGCGCTACAAAACTGTTCATCTCCTTTGACTCTGCCATCCCACTCCAGGGTGGGGGGACTGGGGGAGGGGGGAGGCAGGGACCCATTGACAGATAAGGATCCGCAGGCCTCATCTACTCATGATGGGTTGGCTGATGCTTCAGCAGCGAAGACCACCTCTTGAACACACGGCCACACTCACTGCACTCACAGCATCTGGCTCCAGTATGGGTTCTCCGATGGCGACTCAGGCCCGAGCTTCTTCGGAAGGCCTTCCCGCACTTGTCACACTCATAGGGCTTCAGTCCACTGTGGATCCGCCGGTGTTTGATCAGGTCAGAGGGCCCCCGGAAGGCCTTGCCGCAGTCGCCACACGCGTAGGGCCGCTCGCCCGTGTGAATGCGCTGGTGCTCCAGGAGGCTGGAGCTCTGCCGGAAGGCCTTCCCGCACTGGCCGCACTCGTATGGCTTCTCGCCCGTGTGAATCCGACGATGCTTGGTGAGCTCCGAGCTCCTCCGGAACAGCTTGCCGCAGTGGGCACAGCCATAGGGCTTCGCACCGCTGTGGATGCGCTGGTGCTCGGCCAGGCCATTGACTGCTCGGAAGGACTTGCCGCAGTCGTCACAGTCAAAGGGCAGTTGGCCGCTGTGCACTCGCTGGTGCTTGAGAAGCTCCTGGCGATCCAGGAAATCCCGGCTACAGACCTTGCAGGCAAAGGGCTTTTCCGAAATATGCAGCCTCTGATGGCGAAAGAAGTGGGTGTCCACTTTGAAGGACCGCCCACACTCCTCGCAGTCGAAGGGCTTCTCTCTGCTGTGCACGCGCAGATGTTGACTAAGGCCTGCATTCTTCTTAAACCTCTTCCCACACTCCTCACACTCGAAGGGCTTTGCCTCCTCCTCCATTTGCTCCCTCTTCTCGGTGGCATCATCCAGGGCCTGGCTTGGGCCGGGCCGGGGCTCTACAGCCACGTGGCTCTTCCGGTGCTCATTGAACTCAAAGACCCCCCTGAAGACCTGCCCACAATCTCCACACTCCCAGCCCTTCTCCTCACTGTGAATTCTCTGGTGCTGCACAAGGAGGACCTTGAGCCTAAACGCATCCCCACACTCTTTACATGCAAAGTGAGGCTCTACGGGCAGATTCTGGGGGATCCCTCTCCTCCCCTTAGAGCTCCCATTCTGATTGACCTCAGGTTTGGGCTCACTGGCCCTCGGGGAGCTCCTAAATGCCATCTCCTCTGGTTGGGCGTCTTCGCCCATCGTCTGGTGTTGGGTCGCCAAGATGCTTTCTGAAATGAGAACCACAAGACACTGGTGTCTGCAAAGGAGGGAGGAAGGAGGTTATTCTTTGTCAAGAATCACTTTCCTGCCCAGCCAGCGTGGCTTGGTGGTTGAGCGTCGACCTATGAACCAGGAAGTCATGGCTTGATTCCTAGTCAGATGCCTGGGGTTATGGGCTTGATCACCCATAGGGGTGGTACAGGAAGCAGGCAATCAGTGATCCTCTCTCACCATTGATATTTCTATCTCTCTCTCTTTCCCTTTCTCTCTGAAATCAATAAAAGTGTGTGTGTGTGTGTGTGTGTGTGTGTGTGTGTATATATATATATATATATATATATATATATATATTCTTTTTTTTTTTTTTTAAAGAATCTCTTCCCTCATGAGACAGCTGCAGAGCACTAGGCCTGGGGGCCACCGGGTCAGAACAGCAGGTATTCATCCAACCGGAAGTAAGGAACATAGAGGGAAAAGGTAGAAGGGCCCAATTGATTGTGCTTCCTACCAAAGTGGGCCCAGGGAGGTCTCCCCTTCTGTGACTGAGCAGCAGCCAAACCATACCCTCTCCCCAAAGGCTCAGCTGGGCTTTCCCCACCATTTCCTCACATTTCTTTAGGATTCTTTTTCACTCACCAGAAAATGTAGCTTGATCTGTGTTAAGGGTCTGATACCAATAGTGCGTGTGTGACCAAGGCAGCTTTCAGAACAGGAACTCCTGCTCATGGGAAAGGAAACGGATTATGGCGGTGGTGGCTAGAGATGGCAAAGAAGGGCATAGAACAAGCAGGGACTTCAAAGGGGAACCTCCTTCAATTCTCAAAGTCTAGCTTGGCTGTGACCTTTGGAAGTCATTCGTCTATTTTAAATGCCTTCCCCAGTGGGTAACTCCTGCCAGGGGCTGGATGAGATGGCTCTGGGCCTGCTCCGTTAGAGTAGGAGGTAGTCGTCCTGGGGAGCGGGCACTCCCTTTCTCTATATCCACCCTTCGGTGGATACTGAATTCCATGCTCTTCCACAATCCACATGTGACCCCGGCGTCTCTCTTCTAACAATCCTGGCCACTTTACACATCAGCATGATGGCGAGAAGAAGCTTGCTGGTGCCAACCTCTCTCAACAGTCAACTCTAACAAAATGGCTATGCAATTTGTATCATGTTTGGGATTAATTCATTCTAGATTACAGTGGCACATTTATTTTAACTTCTTTTCTAAAAAAAAAAAATTGGGGGGGGGGGTGTCTTTCCGTGCTATTAGAAGTTGGGGTGTGGCAGACCCTTGTATTTTCTTACAGCCCATCCCTAGGGGGCACAAGTTCCCTCCATCCTACTCCTGCTGCTTAGCATCATGAAGCTGGTGGAAGGGCTAGGGGTGTCCTTACCCACAAGAAGTCACGTTGCCGTTATATGCCGGTGTCCTCGACCACTCCTTTTTTGTGAGGTACTGTGCCACGCAACCAAATGTCAGTGAATCCTGAAAGAATTAAAAAGGATCATCAGTTCTTCCATCCATTCTACAATGAGGTAGAGACAGTCCCAGTAACACCAGGGACATGAGGTGGGGGTCTGGAGTGGATGTGCCCTGCTAACATGGAGATCTACCCGCAAGTGTCAAGAAGTCCTGGGAAGACAACAGGAGACCATGTGCCAGGAGACCTGGGCCATGGCACTGGCCTGCCAAGGACCTTAGTTCAGTCCCTTTCCTGGATTGAAATTTAGCTCCTCCAGTGGTATGATGGGGATTACAAGCCCAGTGGGCATCTATTCCTTGGCAGAGTCCAGGGAGAGAAGCAGAAGGAGGGAGAAATGAAGGGAGGGAAGGCAGCAGCAGGTAGGTCCAGGCCCTACCTTGTGTCATGCTGGGGCAAGAGATGAGGCTGAGGCCAGAACAGGGAGGAGTGACGGGCAGAAGAGATGTCTCCAGCATCTCAAGATGGCCTGCCAGAATCTGTTTCCCCCAACTCTATCCCGGGGAAGGGCAAGACCCTGACGGGAGGCAGGAGCAGGCAGAGTTAAGGGAAGTGTAAAGAGCTGTGAGTGACAGCAGCACTGGGATGTGACTGGCAATTTCCTTTTCCCTGATTTTATATCTTGTCGAGTATTCTCTGGCACAGCCGCTGAATGACAAGCCAGAGCCTGGGTGGGCCTAAGAAAACATACCCCAAGCAGTGGGGGAAGTGGACTGGCAAAGAATGAATGCAGGCAGGCCAGAGGGAGCCCAGACGAGACAAATGAATGATAGCCCAGGCACAGCCGGGAGAAGACAAAGATGGAGGGCTGATGGAGGGCTGATGGCGGGGAGACTGGATCTCAGAGAGAGGCCAGCCACGGGAGCGAGCCTTGAAGAGATCAGTGCCCACTTATATCGCACAGGAAGAAAGCGTTCCCCGAAGAATATCAGAAGAAATAATTAGGAAGTGAGAGATTCTTCCCAACTGCGTAGGGGCAACAACAACAACAAAAATACCCCAGATCGAGCCACTGGAGAGAAGAGAGGCAACAAAGGGTAGGAGGCAGGGCTTTCTGCCCAGCGGCAAGGTCTTTCATAGTCACCTCCCACCCACTGAAACTGCGCCAGGTGACCATGAGTCAGCCACAGAGAAGAACACTTGTGTGATACATTGGACAAAAGGAAGATGAAAGAGAGAGAGAGAGAGAGAGAGAGAGAGAGAGAGAGAGAGAGAGAGAGAGAGAGAGAGAGAAACAGCTGGAAAAAGAAGCATCAAAGAAAATATCTTCAAGCACTAACTTGCTAAATAAATGAAAGGCCTGAATAATATATATGTTACCTTTTGCTTCCAGGTTGCAGAATAGGTGAAAAATTACAAGAGACTACCACAGATATGCGCATCACAGGCCTCCACTCTCAGTGAGTTCAAAGAAACAGGAGCACAGTGTTTGTTCTGATGCCAGGTCAATTCAATCCCATTTATAATTCAATGAAAAGGAAGCATTTTTTACATCAGCTCAAGGAGTACAAAACTCAGATACTCCAGCGGAAAGACTTACATAAAATTTGATGCTATGTTAAAAGAATGGATGGAGATTTCAATTTGTGGTTGTGATGGAGTAACAAGGATAGACTTCATGGCCTGCCATAAACAAGCAGAAAACTGTATAGAATAGATGTTTTTATAGTTGTGAATCCTCACCTGAGAATATTTTCTCATTAATTTTTAGAGAGAGTGGAAGGGAGAGGGAGAGACACAGAGAGAAACATGGATTAAGTTGCATCTTGCACATGCCCTGACTAGGGCCAGGAGTAAGCCTGCCTTGACGAGACTCGAACCCGAGACCCTTCAGTCCGAGGGCTGGTGCTCTAACCACTGAGAAAACTGGCTAGGGCAAAGCAACAATTTTTAGACATTGGAAAGCAGACAGCAAAATGAGATGAGCCTTATTGCTGTCCAGGTTCCCTCTCTGGAAGCAATTTCCAGATTGAGAATGTAGAGAAGGAGGACCCAAATAGAGCTTGGTGGCTTCAAGGCACAGATGGATGTTCAAGGCAGCCGGAAGTTCCAGAAAGGAGGGAGCTATGCAGAAAAAGAATGCTCCAGCAAAGGTCTCAATAAGATTCCCCTCGAGTCTTTACTGACTCCCCAGCCATGCATACACACAGTGAAACTCCAAGGCTGGGGAAAGCAGGACCAGGAAGCTGTAAGCAGAATAATTTCCAAGACACACAAAGGGAGATGTTCAGGGTCCAAACAACCAGTAGAGAATCCTCCTCAGTGGTCACCTGAAGCATTCAGTAGACAGTAGTGCAGTGAAGGCCTGGGCAAGGGGTGGGAGAGGGGTTGGGGGAGCCAATGGGGGAAAAAAGGGGGCCATCTGTAATACTTTCAACAATAAAGATAAACAAAAAAAGATAAAGGGAAAAAGAACACATGGGACAGATAGAAACCATCAGCCAGACAGTAAATATAATTCCAACCATATAATTAAGTAAAATGCAAATGGAGTCACAAAGGTTAGGATTTCCTTCTTTTTTTACAGCTAAGTAGTATTCCATTGCCTAAACGCACCAAATTTTTTTTTGGGTGTGGGGAGAGCATTATGCTAAGTGAAATAAGCCAGTCAGAGAAAGACAAATGCCATATGATTTCACTCATAGGTAGAATCGAATGAACAAAATAAACTAACAAACAAAATAGAAACAGACTCATAGAGAACAGACTGGTAGCAGAGGGTTGGAGGCTGGGTGAAGGTATTAAGCAAAAAAACCCCCCAAAAAACAACAAAAAAAACCCTCTTAGGTACAGGCAACAGTATGAGGATTACCAGAGGGAAAAGGGGAGTTAGAAGCGAGTAAAGAGGGGATAAATGATGATGGAAGGAGACTTGACTTGGGGTAGTGAACACACAATACAGTGTACAGATGATGTGTTGTAGAATTGTGTGCCTGAAATCTGTAATATTTTGTTAACCAGTATCCCCCCAATAAATTCAATAAAAAGGGAAAAAAAGTACAAATGGACCACACACTTCAAATAAAAGGCAGAAATTATCAGACTGTATTTAAAAAAGAGACTCAACTACACTGAGTAGCCAGATTATATATAATCTCTGAACTCATAATAATTTCAGTGTACATTCCATGTAATAAAAGGCTAGTATGCAAATTGTCCCCTCGACCAGGAGTTCGACCTGCAGGCAGGCCGGCCAACTGCCCATGGCCAGGCTGGCTGGACCCACCCATGCACAAATTCATGCCCCTGGCCTCTAATATGTATAATATACAGAGTGGCCAGATTATTATGTGTTCAGAGATCATAATAATCTGGCCACTCAGTGTATATGCTGTCTACAAGAAACCTTAAATTTACATAAAAACTTCAAATGTAAAGACCTGGGCAGGTTAAAAGTAAAAGGATGGAAAACAATAATATTATCACCAACAGGAAGGGTCTAAGTTATCCCCTTGTCATAAAAATGAGAGAGAGATAGAGATGGGAGAGAGAGAGAGAGAGAGAGAGAGA